ACACAGTCTCCAATTTGCGGGAACTTAACGGAGGATCTACATAAACTTGCCCTAAAACACTTCTATTGCTTCGTTCCTTATGGGATTTTCAATGTTGTGTTTTTTATTGGCGACTGACCCAGTTTCCCGAAATTTAGCTACAAGTTCTAGAACATATTTCCGATGCACGTTACTATTCTAAGGTCGCTCATTAAATATTTCTGCTGTTCTATTAGCGCACCGATTATTTCCGAAAAATATTCCGATAATTTCAACTCTGTCTGCCGTGGAATATACCATGGTTAATTTATGTAATAAAGCATTACAAGTTATTTTAGTTTGGTCAAATCAATCGCAAACTACGTACTAAATTCCTATTTAAAATAAGTACGAAACATTTCCTTATCTTTCTTCAAGAAATAACTTTTTTGCCACAAAAAAACGCTCCAATAGCTATTTTCAACAACAAAATGATAAACAAACCGTGGGCGTAGTGAAGAAAAGCATTTACGTATTAAGTAAATTCTTTTAGTACAATTTCTTCTGAAATTAGTACAAACTAATCTGATGTACCTATTAAAGTCTACTTTAAGCTTTAAATCAATAAATCTTCAAAACTACTGAACTGAAGTACATTAATTTTATATCATTATAAAGGGAATTGAAAGACCTTTAAAATCAGGTATCACTCGACCCCTCTTTTCATTTAAGATTTTAGGGTTGGTGTCACTCCCGCCCAGGGGGCTGCACGTGTTAACGTGATTTTTTGCCGGACTTGTGTCCCCCTCGAAAACAAAATCGACGGGTCTGAGTGTTTTTCCAAAAAAAAGACTGAGCTGCCCGTAAATGCGTGTTTCGTTTTCGATGCGCCACCCTGTATATCTACGGAGCCGGTAAAGATATTTTATAAAAAGCACTTTTTTTCTCCGAAACGGCCAGTGGCGTACAAAATATTTCCTAGTAGCTGTCGATGTACCCCAGTTTTTACGCCCCTGGCGCTGAGCTAGTCCCATTTCTGACAACCAATAATAACACAAATACACCCATGTTTTTAACAGATACAGACAGGTGTTTTACAAGTGTATAAGTAGGAGACATCAAGGCAAATGGATGTAACCAGTGACTTCTAACATTGCGTCTGTAGTCTGTTACAACACACACCTTTTCCAATCAACGGCATTTTCACGCTTTAACGCCCCACCCTTTCGTCCTGCACGATGATTGGTCCTCGAGGCTCTTTAATTTCGGCAGTTTTCCTGGCTGCTTTTCACTTTTTCTGTAGCGCCCATGCTTCCTGTTAATTTAACGCTTGTTTCGTTATGCAAGTGTTCTCCTGAACACAAAAAGATGTTCACTCGTAAATACCTGTTCCTGTCTTTGTATTATTTTCCTATAACGTAAATGTATCGTGTAGTTGGAAAAATTAACGTGTGTTTTTGCCGATGTTGTAACTGTTAGCGATTGTAAAACGTATAATTAATTTGTTATAGCGGTTTATGGCGCATGCATTTTCTTCTGCATCGCGTTGTAATCCTTTTTTGGAGCCATAAAAGTAGTTCCAAGATTCTCACACTATTAATATATCACGTTTCCAAAAATATCAGATTTCATATCAAATATAATAATAATAATAATAATAATAAATTTATATTTAGGGCAGAACACTTAGGGTCTTTAAAGCCAAACATACCTCAGTACAAAGTGTTACGGTTTTCGACATACTCGGGTTTTCAAATTTAAATCATAAATTTGTAAACGAAACAAAATAAACTATTGAAACATGCTTTATTGGTGTTCAAAGTGAGGAACATTGTTTCTAATACATGCTCGAGCTCTGCGTGTTACTTCGGTAACTGTTGTATTTAATAACCTGTCTTGCTGCATTAACTAAGAAGCTTCTCGAATTTTTCTTATTAAATAGTCTCTTGATACGATTTCTTCAGTGTAAACTAACTGTTTAACCCGCTCCAAGACATAGAAATCCAATGGTGTCAAGTCCGAGGACCTAGTAAGCCACGGAATTGGTCCACCACTGCCTATCCAGCTATTTTTAAAAGTATCGTCCAAATATTGTCTTACGTCCAAACGAAAATGAGCTGGACATCAGTCGTGGTGGAAAACATTTTGCATGTCATCTGGCATTTTTACTCCAACAAGTAATTCGGGAAGATCATTTTGCAAAAAGTGTAGATAACTGTCGCCTCAAAAAATGAGGACTGATTAATCTTTGTCCCATGACAGCGGCCCATACATTAACGGATTTGTGCTGGAAAGACACCTGTTGTTTCCAGTGTGGATTTTCCTGCTTATCAGCTCATTGATGCAAATTGTAAAAATGTGTAATGCCCTTCTTTGAAAAATTGGATTCGTCAGTCCATAGGATGCTTTCCAGGAACCGTTCATTCTCAATGTCATTTTGTAAGAGGAAACAACAAAATTAGCTTCTGCGAATAGGATCATCATCTTCGCGGATACCATGAAAATGATATTTTCGTTCACGGTGCATGATACTTCAAACCTTCCACGGCGACAAACCAAGATCAGCAGCAAATTTCCTAGTACTTGTAGAGGGATTATCTTCAAACGCTTTGAGGATTTGATCTTCGGCTTCAGGAGGATATCGACCTGGAATGACACCAGGTTCATTACGTGTTACACCTCCAGTTTCGTAAAGACGTTCGGTAAGTATTGTAAAACACTCTGACATTAGGCAATCTTCTCCCAGGAAATCGCTCTTGGTACGACCGTCGTGCTTCTAGTTCATTTCAATCTGCTCTGCCATACGTGTAAGCGATATCTGCGTATTTTTCCCTAGTGAAAGCAACCATTTTACAAACTAATTAATTCAGGGTTTGTGGACTGAAATTCATGAATTACTATTGACTTGCTTGGAAAGGAATAAAGCAAGAATGTGTGGAATTTAGTTTTATCATGCACGCAAACATGTTCCTTCTTATCAGTATCACAAAAATAGGAAAACATGAATTTGTTATTTGTTTACAGTCAATTTGTTTTTCTTTTCTCTACCTTCGCAGAAAAAACACACAGTCAGGTATTTAAATACTATTTCATATAACCTGATGTTCTTTCAGTGATAGCAAGAACAAAAGGCATATTTTTTTCAATAAAAATCGAAAATCTCGAATAACTCGAAAACCGTAAGACTTTGAACTACGGTATTTTTGCTTAAAAGATTCTAAATGGTCTGCGCTATCACCTGCCAAAGACCTTCCAAACACCCTGTATACATATTCACGGAACATGTTAAAATAAAGCAATGCTCAATTCTAGAAACCATTACAATTTCATATCCAGAAGGTTGTTTGGTTGAGAATTGTATGAGAGCATGCATTAAATGTGTAAAGGGTCTTGTGTTGAGGCATAGTGGATGTATCTTGAAAACGAATAATTTTGGGGTGGATTATATTATGACGAGGAATGAATTTTTATAAAGGTTTTTTATTGAGCATCGTTTTATGTACAACTGTGGGCAATAAATATTTGAATAAATCTTCAACACTTAGCCAGTTTATAACAAAGACTGTTGTGTGATCATATCTCGTTAGATTGTTTATCAGACGACAACAGTAATTTTGGATTATCTGCAAACGTTTTGCTGTATATTGGTCTAGGCCAACAAATTCGGACTAGGTTAGAAGAAGCCAAGCCCATATGCTGTTAAACGATTGTTTGTTAGCAACATCAACAGATTATTGTTTTCACAAAATTTTACCTTGAACGAAAATTGTATACTTTTCCCCGAGAAGAGATCTGCTTTTATCGCGCTTAAACTGCGTTTTACATAACATGCAACACTTCACAATCTTCGAGAATAGTCCAAAATGCTATATATTCCATTGAAATGTTTCAAAATACTCAAAACTCTGTGAAAATATCACGGAACACACACGTAAACATGACAAGATGAGCAAAGTAAAGCTTCGCCTCAATTGCGCAAAGCCGCAGTTTAAAGCACCAGAAATCAGCCCAGCTGTTCTTAATTTGCCACCACAGCGTTGCCACGTTTAATACGAAAATATTAGTTTTTCAGGAAATATAACAATACATATTTCTTAATTATCTTCGGTGCTTATTTCAGATGTATTTTGAAACGCTGAGTACGAAACCAGAATAAGAATAGCTCAAGACGTTTTCGGCTATCGCTGTGAAGTTTTTTTTTTGAAGAAGAAGAATTTTTGCCGGTTCCGTGAAGTTGGTAGATTTTTAGGCTATGATGAAACTGCATCAGTTAGTGGAAACATTATAATATGCAATATATTAGGGTACTGAAACCAAAGACTTTATTTTCGGTGCAGGTGTTACAATTTATAACTGTACACACACATGAATTGTTCTATTTGAAAATACAACATATTAGAGACAAATTAATACTCTTTATTTAGTTATCACCACGTACAACATTTTACGATTATTTTTGCACTGCTCAGTGCTATCATCAATCGTTTGCGTGCAGGCAGTTGTTGATTTTGAACAACATGTGGCAACACCGCAGAAAAGTGGTAGTACCCACTCGAGTTTGTGGTCTATATTGACCCTTAGGGCTCTATGACAACCTGCAAGGGGTCTACGTCAGCGAAAAAAAATTTGGGGGTCCATGAGATGAATATGGGGGTCCACGATAGTGGATCTCAACACATACACTGATAGTACCTATTTACTTACATCATACTATCTTATAATATCAAAACATATACATTATTTATAAAAGTACCTATGAAGTAAAAAAATTATTATATATGTTTATAAAATTGTGTAAGTTGTAGGATGTCGGTATTCGCTTTGTGGTCGCAATACATTTTGAACTTGTAAAAACCTGAGAGTCACAGTCTCAGAGCTTCGCTACCCTGCACAAACAATCGCCTATGTGCCTTTTATGCAACAAAGTTTTGGGCTATGACGCTATGAAACCATCTAAAATGCAAGATCATCTGGGAAGATGCCACCCTGATAAAACAGAGAAAGATTTGAAATACTTTCAAACACTCAAAGATAAATTTCAGAAGAGACCTACACTGGACAGAATGTTCGCTTCGACGTCACAAAGAAATGATGATGGTTTGCGGGCGTCTTACAATATCTCGTTACTTATAGCAAAATCCGGAAAACCGCATACTATCGGAGAGAGGTTAATTTTGCCAGCCGTTGAAGAGGTTTTAAATACTGTTTTACACAAACCTGCATCTGATATCATTAAAAGAATTCCCTTAAGCAACAATACTATTGAATGACGTATTGATGAAATGAGTTCTGATATTGAAAGCTTCTTATATAATTATTTGCAAACGACCCATTACTCTATACAACTGGACGAGTCAACCTTACCTGATAATGCAGCATTATTATTGGCGTATGTTCGTTTTATTATGAATCAAGAAATCTACGAAGAACTGCTCTTCGCAAGAACTTTGATAACCGACACTAAAGGTGAATCAATATTTCATGTTTTGAAGGATTACTTCATTGAAAAAGCAATTCCTTTATCAAATATAATATCAGTAGCTATAGATGGAGCACCTGCCATGGTTGGACGTTATCGTGGATTTATAAGCTATTTAAAACAAAATGTGTCAGGGGTGTTAGCAATACATTGCGTGATCCATCGACAACATTTAGTTACTAAAAATTTGAGTGTTAGATTGCATGAATCACTTCATTTAGTCATTGATGCAGTCAACCGAATCCGAAGCAACGCGTTGAATACGCGGTTATTTGCGCAGTTGTGTGAAGAAAATGACGTACACTTTCATCAATTACTCCTTCACACTGAAGTACGCTGGCTGTCGAAAGGCTTATGTTTGACAAGATTTTTTGCACTTTTTGAGACTATTTTAGAATTTCTGGATACTAAAGATAAAATTTTAAAAGAAAATTTAATGAAGAGGAAAACAGACATCGCCTATTTAACAGATTTGTTTACAAAATTTAATATGGTTAATTTGCAATTACAAGGCGACAGTTTAAATTTGATTAAAACAAAGTCCACCTTATCAGCGTTTCTTGTCAGAGTTAAACTAATGAACCGAAATATTGGACGGGGCGAATTTTCTCAGTTCCCCAATTTGTAACAGACAAGCTGCCAGGAAGACGACGTTTCAACTTACGTTCAACATTTAAATGCCCTCTATTCAGATTTTGAATCTAGGTTTGAGGATATTTTGACTATGGTAATACCACCGTGGATAATTAATCCATATGGTGACATAGAAGAAACTAATGTCATAATACAAGAGGAATTGACTGAACTAAGTAAAACGAAGAACTTAAGATTCAGTTTAAAAACGGATATCAGCAATTCTGGCTGCAAAACAACATACCCGTTACTTATCTCGTATTATGGAATATAGCGAGGAAATTTTTTATTTCCTTTCCATCGTCATACCTAGTGGAAAGGGGGTTCAGCGCTGTTACCAATCTCCTAACGAAAAAAAGAAACAGACTGGACATCATTAGCCGAGGAGATTTAAGATTAACCCTTCATCCTTCTCACTAAAAATATTGACTTATTGCTTATGCTATTTTATTTATAGTTTATTTTATGTTTATTGGTGTCTGACCAATAAATGCCCGCATTGGAAACAAGTGCCCGCATTGATTTTTTTAAAAACCCCCCTTTATAGAAAATATTTTTTTTTAATTATTCTGAAAATTCAAGGATAGGTACACACTAAAATTCGTGAATTTTTTGCCTATTTTTAGATAACTTAAACATATAAGAAGCGGAATTTAATCAAACTAACAGTGAAATTATTGTAGAACATACATTTATGTTATAATTAATAAACGAACTCGCTTATTGTACTATTTTAAGTAAAAAACTTTTTTTTTATTATTTTCCACTTTTTTTTATTTTATCTTATTTTTTTTCAATGCGGGCACTTATTCCCAATGCGGGCACTTATTGGTCAGACACCTGTTTATTTAATGTTACGTATATTTTACATAACAGATACAAAATTTTATTTTGAGTTTAATTTAAATTCAATTAATAAATGTATAAATTAACATGTGTCTTTACTTTAAGTTTTTAACACTAAGCTTCACTACAGTTAAAAATTTACAGGAAATCAATATCAGGTAAGTAGGGGGTCTACCCAACAAGGAAAAACATGGCAAGGGGTCTACGACACAAAAAAGTTTGGGGAACTCTGCTCTAGATGATTGATAAAAACAAATCCTTTGTTCACGTCTTCTACGCGTAGTCGAATTCGTTGGTCTAGACAGGGATAATGTAATGGCATATTTGAAATATCTAGTCTTTCACGTGAAATTTTTTTGAAAAATTTTGTCAAAATGTTTTTAACTGCAAGAGCGATGTGATCTCTGGACCTTATAATCATTCATCAAAGAGCACCCCGAGGTTTTTTACGCGGTACGAGAATTTCAACTGTGAAAAATTTGCATGTACCCTTAAAAAAATTGATTTTGTTTCTAGGCCGAATAAAGTGTTCAATCTAAGAGCATAATCCTTATTTATAAGTGAGGCAGCGCTTTAATGATTAGTTGGGTTTCATCGGCGTAGGTCACTATTTTCCAATTTTGAACATCTGTACTCAAATTTGAAGTGTACAGTGTGAATAGTAGTGGCCCTAAAACAGAACCTTGTCGCTTAATGAAAATTTTTTACACCTATCATGTCATGGTTATGACGCGACGTATACGAACTATTACAAAGCCCCCTGAAATTGAGCGAATGCTACAAAACAGTGCTGTAAAATCAGCTTCGGAAAACAAAATAATCTGTCAGTCCATCCATAAATATCAGTTCTGTTTCCACTTTCGGTCTCTTATAACACGATAGATAGGTTAAGCCGTCAATAATAAAAATTATCTAGAAACACTAGAGGGGCAGATGTGGTTCGATCATTCCGGCGTGTATCTATATGTATAGAAGGGCAATTTGCCAGAGAGCAAGCTGTGAAGGATGGTGTTATAGTCAATAAGAATCGATCAACTATCTGATCGACCTGCTCACTAGAACACATTTTTGTTCGCTTACTGGCGTGGAAGACTTGTAATCGCGAAAATTTTCGAAAACGAGATATTATGTTTTTTGGTGTTATATGTCTTTTACAGGGTGGCCAATTAAGAATGCGAGGTACTGAATCTAAGAACCTATCCGTCGTAGAGGCTTGCGGCAAAAAAAGTTTTTACTAAAACGGTCAAGAGAAAAACCTGGAAAATATTTTCAAGTTTCTCAAATGGCCGCTAGGGGGCATAACTGCAATCTTGATAAAAAAAATACCTGATCTTCAAAGTAGAGGATAATTTGAACTTTTTTATTTGTCAATTTTTGCTGTATCTCTAAAAATAATGTGGTGGGGGGTGTTCAAAGGTTTCCATAGAAAACAGCCTGAATCTTCGAAACGGCTGAGCCGATTTTAACAAACTTGGGCAAATTGAAAAGAGCAATTCTTGGGCTACAAATGTTATAATATTTGCAAGTTTTGCAAGTTTCACACTTGGCCGCTAGAGGACTTTTTTCGACATTCCGACAAAAATGGTTAATTTTCTCAAAAAATTAAATGCATTGGTATGATTTTTGTCATCCTCAAGTGATGAGGAAACTATAGAAAATAATGGCAACGACCTCATCGCAGACGAAATTGCAATTGTTCCCATTATTTTGCAAAAGTCACAAGTTCCAAAAATAAAAATGAGAACGGACGATGCCTTGGAGTAGATGTTGAAAAAATACGAATCAACATTCGGTAAACCATTAGATATTAAACGCTTATTAATAAAAAATCAATAACATGAAATCAGGATTGAAGGAAAAAACAGATCTAAAAAAAACTGGTAATAAAGCAATTAAATTGTTAGATTGGGAAAGAAAGTTGCTGAAAGCTATGGAAGGTGACTGTAATCCTACAGTTGGGAAAATTACAGGTGCCATTCAGGTTGGTAGTGTTCAAGAAGGAAGTGAGCTATATACGGAGCGCAGTGAGCAAACAGTGAGTATTACAGCGCCAGCAATTCAGAAGACATTGTCACCAAAAAAGAAAATTAGCGACAGAGAAATACGAAGCTGAGAAAACCAAAGGGTTAACTACAAAAGAACTGCAACGTCTAGTGCTATTACAGCAGTACCAGCAAGAGTATTATAAAACGAAATTAGAAATGATGCAGCGTCAGCAGCCACCTGTAACTTATAATGTTCACGAAAATAAAACTTATCATAACTTATAAATACACTTTAATCAGTAAAACTATTTATTATAATAATGAAGATTCTTCTCATTTGTTGACCTAGTTAGCGGAGAGGAAGTTCGTCATTGTCATGATTTCCTTCATCTTCATCTGGGGCTTGTTCATCTAACTCAAGGTCAGAATCGTCCAAACTCTTCGCAACATTATGGAGTACGCGGCAAACATACTGTAGGATAGGAAACCGGCGTTTCAGTTGGCCGAAACAGCATTCAATTATAACTCTTTCTTGTTTTAAAAGCTTATTATAATTTATTTCTGCACCCGGATTTCTGAAGGGAGTCATAAGGCATGGCTCAATACCATAACCCTCATCGCCAAGTAGTACAACATTTGCTTTATTTATCAGTTACGATCCAGTCTGTGAATTTCTCCATATTCTGGAATCATGCACTGATCCAGGCCAACTGACATCAACACTTGTGAACATCTCTCTGGAATCACAAGGTGAAGATTATGAATATCCTTTTACTTATGTCACTGCTTTGAAGGATATGCTTCAAATTATTATAAATACCATCTGGAGGATTTCCTTCAAAATTTGCAAGTACAAGGGTATCCTTTGTTTCATGAATACGGCTCATTGTTTTGTACCAAAGCACCCGCCTAGTCAAAATCCTGATCTTTGTAGTTATGTGTGAAAACAAGGGTGTCTATTGTATTGACCTCGTTCGTATTGGTAGCCTGTGTGTCGGTTGTCGGCCAGCCTGTGAGTGTCGGCTCGGTCGGTAATCACAGGCAAGAGCGTGCTGGAGAGCTGCGGCTGTGGCTGTGGCGGCCGTACCCGACAGATCAAACGCGCCAATGGACTCGGTAAACAGCAATTAACCGGCAACTTTAACCACCTTAATCGCCGGCCTTAACGTGCTACTTTGACTTTATAATCATCGGCCAGTCATGCCTATACACAACACCACTACAACCCGACCACTGCCACATAGATGTACAGGGTGATTGTGCGCAAGTAGGTGGAAAGGAGGGTCCCTCCTTCTTCTAACCTCTGCTGGATCTGGCACGAACACAT